TCCTCTCTCTCCTCTCTCTCCCTCTCTCTCCTCTCTCTCTCCTCTCTCTCTCTCTCTCTCTCTCTCTCTCTCTCTCTCTCTCTCTCTCTCTCTCTCTCTCTCTCTCTCTCTCTCTCTCTCTCTCTCTCTCTACCTCTCTCTCTCTCTCTCTCTCTCTCTCCTCTCTCTCCTCTCTCTCTCTCTCTCTCTCCTCTCTCTCTCTCTCTCTCTCTCTCTCTCTCTCTCTCTCTCTCTCTCTCTCTCTCTCTCTCTCTCTCTCTCTCTCTCTCTCTCTCTCTCTCTCTCTCTCTCTCTCCTCCTCTCTTCTCTCTCTCTCTCTCTCTCCCTCTCTCTCTCTCTCTCTCTCTCTCTCTCTCTCTCTCTCTCTCTCTCTTCTCTCTCCCTCTCTCTCTCTCTTCTCTCCTCTCTCTTCTCTCTCTCTCCCTCTCTCTCTCTCTCTCTCTCTCTCCTCTCTCTCTCTCTTCTCTCTCTCTCTCTCTCTCTCTCTCTCTCTCTCTCTCTCTCTCTCTCTCTCTCTCTACTCTCTCTCTCTCTCTCTCTCTCTCTCTCTCTCTCCCCCCCCTCTCTCTCTCTCCCCCCCCCCACTCTCTCTCTCTCCCCCCCACTCTCTCTCTCTCCCCCCCCCCACTCTCTCTCTCTCCCCCCCCACTCTCTCTCTCTCCCCCCCCCACTCTCTCCCTCTCTCTCTCCCTCTGCAATGGTACAGGTAAAGGGAAGAAATCCTCTTCTTGATATCTTCAACTGAACATCTACTGCAGGCATCTTGCCTACTGCCTGGAAACGAGCTACCATTATCCCATCCCAAAACCAGGAAGCCCGGATGAATTTAGACCAATTTCTCTGACATCCTGTTTCTCTAATACCTGTAAAACTTGTCTGCTTTGCCAGATCAAGGACAAAATTCATTCATCAGTCTGCAGTCCCCCATGAATTAACAATTAATAGTTAAGGACAAGTTTCTGCTATGGATAAGGGATTATCTGTCTTTGAGAAGAGCAAAAGTATGGTAAAAAGGCACTTACAGCGCATATGCTTATGGTGAAATTATGTCCCCTTTACTATTTAACCCACCCATTATGGTCCATTTCGAGAGAGATAATCCCCATTTCTGGGCAGTATCTAAATTGGCGCACGGGCCAGTTCCGGAACCTGCCCGTGTATCCCCCACCTCAGGCGACAAAATTAGAGCACAGCTCCGATCTAGCATCACGCTGGTGGACAGCCAGCCATGGTCCATATTCCGGGGTGTCACATACATGCGACACCTGGCGCAAGTTGGTTAAAAAAACACTCATTGCAAGCTAAGCAGTGAATTAGAAGACCTATGCAGTATCACATCCTATACTAATGACATTCTCTTTCTGGTCTGTGATAAGGGGAATGTGTTGTGTTCTTCAGAGGTTCAGTAAAATAAATGTGCTTCCTTTGGATAATCAACCCTATCAAGACTAAGTATATTTCCAGATCTCATAAACTTTCATACATTCCAAGGTGGACAAGTTATTGCATTGCAAAGATAAGCCTCTAGGTGTTACGCTGATTGCTACCCTGCAATGTCCTGCAATTCTTGCTCCACTTGGAAAATTGTTCAAAACATCAGGGAACATTGCTTGGAGCGTTTAAGACTTTTACAATTCATAAATAACAAATACATAGGTGCCTTCCCAAGAGTCCTAACTTTGATGTATTTTTCCCTTTATGCAAGCCCAGTCATTAGTTCCCTGAAACCCCTTGAAATATTACAACACAAGGCCATGAAATTTTTTCTTGGTTGCCCAATGACTGCTAAATTTCTTGTCAAGAGAAAAGAGCTGGACCTTCCTTCAATTCATAGTTACCCAGTTCAACCCCATGCTCGGCATCAGACTTCTGCAGCTTCAATCCAGACCACAAATTTCCCTTGCTTTGTCTGAGACCAAATATATAGTTTGACTTGATACTCCAATCTGATATAGTACAACTTTGAATGTAAGGTCTAAACTGCCCAAACTATTCTCAGTTTCAGGTTGTATTATGGAAATTTGAAAAATTATGAAAAAATAGCATATATAGCTCATATGATAATTTTTGTACTGAGTTATTTACTACATAGAGGGATGATATGGAGTCTCTGCAAATCAAAAGGCAAATATGAACATTAGAAAATGGCAAAAAAGCTAAAAAAGTTTACACATATAACTTTGCAAATGAGAAACACAGATTCTTGTCACTGCTCATGAGTGTTAGCGCATATTGGGATATTGGCCACTTATGTAACCCAGTGCCCGTATTTTTGGCCCAATGATTTCCGTGATGCAACTGGATCCAACTGATTAACTTTTTAGATGTTAGTGACACTGTGCCTGGTTATGTCCTAAAATCTAGGCATTAGACTTGAGTGGAGACTCGTGGGTATGAGGCTTGTAGGATCAGCCCACATACACATTTATGCAATATGAAGACTTTGCTGCCCTTATGCAGTGTTATTATCTCTGTATTAGCTCCACCAATGAGGTCATATTTTTGGTAGTGTTGGTTAGTGAGTCTTGTTTGTTTGTTTGTTTGTGTGATAACTTAAAATGTTAAGAACAAGTTTTTATCATTGGTTTTTTATGGCCCAACATAAATGCCATGAACCCATTTACGACGGGTGTCCCACATGTCAGACACCTGGAAAAATAAACATTGCTGGGTGTCCTGCTAGTGTGACGCTGGATCGGAGCTTATGCTCCGATTCCATCGCGGGCTGTGGCTGGCGCGCGGGCAGATTCCGGGCCAGCCCTGTGCGCCGATATTGAAGCCGCTCGGAAACTATTATTTTTGGCTTCAAAATATACTGCCTCTAGCGGGTTGAATTTTGGTGGTGATCCAAATCATGATCTAGGTCCAGGAAGTTTTTGAATGATAGCATCAGTTACTCCTATTGCTGTGGCATTAGGGGTAACTATTATTATTATTTGCATTGTTATAAAGGTACAAGTTTTTGGCACTTGAATTTTTATTTATAAAGATTGTTGTAACATTTTTGTTAGGTAGAATTATCCACATTACTGCATGATAGTAAATAATACTTGACATGATTGTTCAGACTACAAATGACACATTCAATTGAGATACCTCCAATTTATTCTAAAAGTAGACAGATAATTCATACAGGCATATTTATTTGCAAGTAAAACCATTTGAAATTGAATTATTGATTCTCTGAATAATTAGTTATTTGGTAATCCTTCAAAATCTGAATAAATTGTTTATCCATGGCAGTAATGGTTAAATCTTTAGAAGACTTTTTTTCTGTCTCTGGCCTGACAGTGCAATGAGTAGCGTTTTTTCCAAACATAAGCTTTCTAATGTTAACAATATAATTGCTTCATATATATGGCCCTTGAAGAATAGGTATTAAAGAGAAACTTGAATCATCAAAAACATGTTATCAAGATAATGACATCATGGAAAGGCTCCTTCTGCACAAGTTGCTTTAAACATAAGATATATGGAGATTTTAAAAAAAGTCTTGTATATATGTTGTTTTTTGATTTGGTCTTTTGCATTGCAGGATAAGGACCCAGCCTCTCTTGCATACTATCAGAACTTGGCAGCTGCCCAGCAAGCTCAAAAACTTGCCTACTCACAGCAGGCAGCATACCAGCAGCAGCAACAGTCCTTGTATGTACAGCAGCAGCAACAACTGTATCTACAACAGCTGCAGGGTTACTATCCACCTCCTCCACAAGCTCCTCCATTCCAGCATGGACAGAATGTTTTGGTGTTGGTGAGTATTGTGAAACTAGAGTTAACAAAGTATTTCTTATTGTGTTTTGTTTTAGCAGGAGGATTAAGCTGCCATTTGCTCTTATCCATGGCTGCTATTGTGTATTTATGAAATCCTTCTCTTCCTCGACTATTTAATCATATTGTAAATTGGGAAAAGCAGTATATTTAAATGCTAGAGCAAAAGATTGAAGCAAATGCTATACTTAAAAAAGAAAAGAAAAATATATTGTTTTGTAAAAGGATAATCAGATGAAAGAAATATCTGAATAAAATTATACAATTTTCACCTTGGATAATGTGAATACTGTGTATAATTGAGAGATGATTTAAATGTGCAAAATTTTAAAGTTTGGTTTGCGTGTCAAAACAGGTCTTTGTAATACATGTTTTTTGAAATAGCAAGAGAAAGTTTCATAATATTGCAGCTAGTAAGTGCTTCCAAAAAGTACTCGGTTGTGAAATGTAGCATAGAAGGAGGACTTGCAGGGTAGGAGTATAATAAAAGAGGGTCTGTACTATTGGGACTCGAGTAGTTTTCTAATTGGGCTCCTGTAGTTTTCTCCTGATGTACACATTAAATAATGGAATACTTTTAGAATATTATCAGAAGGGAAATGCTGTGATGAAATAATCAAACATAGCAAATCATGTTCTAGATTAAGTGATAAATGGGTTTTAAGTGATTTTTTATTTTTGATGTACACTTTGTAGATGGATCTGAGCCTGTAAATGAAGGCAATTATTCAAATATACATGCTGAGTATATAGTTACATATGCTGCCGTTTACACTTTATTGTCCCCCGCAATGTATTGGACATTCTCTTTGAAGCCCCTGCCTTTTCCATTGACAACTTATTCTCCTTCCTTAGATGCATAAATATCCTCCATTTGATCAAATAAACCTCTATCTTTGACCCTTTCTCTTCTATAAATAACTATCATACTCCTTTTACTACCCCTCTTTCTATCCCTTTCACTAACATTACCATCTTAAAATACCATATGACCATTAACACTTAACCCACTAACACGAGTATATTTTGAAGCTGAAAATAATATTTTCTGGGTAAATACAAAATCTGCCCGCGCACCAGCCATGGCCCGTGACATATTCGGAGCGCAAGCTCCGATCCAAATGGCACACTGGCGGGACGCCTAGCAATGTTTATTTTTCCGGGTGTCTCATGTATGGGACACCTTTGGTAAATGGGTTATAACATTAAACATTACACTTACATGTTTTATTGTGGATAATTTTATGTTAATGGCTTTTCCAACTGTACTCCTAGATAAAAAAAAAAGAAAGAAAAAAAAAATGGTAATGTAATGGAAATGACAACTAAGAGACTCAATTTCTTTCCTTCAGAATGGTTTTGAATCTGGTGCCAGGTTCGATGGCATTGCCCAGCCCAGCATCCCTCCCCCACCACCTGGCGTTGCCCCCAATGCTGCTCAGCTGGCTGCTGCTTCCGGTGCTCAAGTATCGATGAGTCAGAAGAAAGGTTCCTTCCTCAGTGGAGGGTCAGGTGGAGGGTTCACTTTTTGGTAAAGTGTTGTAAGGGTTATATGTAAAAGACCAAAAAAACAAAAAACAAAAAAAAAAAACAAAAAAGATTGGAATATTCTTGGTTTGATACTTTTTATTTTTGATGTAGAAAGACATCTGACCAATGAGAAGAGAAGATTTTTTTTTTTTTTTCTTAAAGTAGAGATGGTAGTGTGAACCAAATCTGGCAACGTATTTTGGCAAGAAGAAAAAAAACAAAGATGTAAATAAGTAAAAAAATATATGTATAAAGAAGACTTCAGAAGTCAACTTTGCAGTTTTGTTTGAATGCTTAAACAGGGTAAAAATGTAATAATCCATTTTGCAGTTATTGTAGGAAGAGGTGGAAGGGAATAAAGGTTATGACAGTGTACTAGAGTGAATAGAATTGCAATGGACCACTTTATATGTGGACAGACTCTAATTGATGGATACTATATAGTTATATATAATAATTATATATAGATGTATATTATATTGTCGTTGATAAATATATAATTATATATAATAATTGTGGATATAAATATATATGATCATTATATGATTAGTTTTCATGGATACTTTAGTAGTGTCTTAGAGAGTTTGGAGAGTATGTCCTTTGTACTCTGTGTTAAGCCTTTTTTCCCAGTGATACGTTTGAGTACTTTTTTTCCTCCAGTCGGGCTGATACATTGGAAGTTATTGTATCAAATAAGATGTGTCTCTTTTTGTTTTTTTCTAGTTGTTTTTCTTGTCAGAGTCCTAGGGGCTGTTGGTAATATATTGTTACTGATTTATGAAGTACCTTAAATTTGATTTATGATTTTGTGATTTAGGTGTACCTGTATAACCAAAGCATAAAAGAACAACAAAGAAAGAGAGAGAGAGACAAAAAAAAAAGGTTCAAAATAATGTATTGTTTACCATTTTGAATTCTTTTTGATTCCTTTTGATAAAAATCGTAATGCAGTGTACATTTTCACAAATTATGACCTTCCCAATAAAGTCTCAGATAATGAATAAACTTCCTCACTCTCTTTCCAACTCCTGCTCTCTAGGAGGTATTGCTGTGACACTTTGTTGGAGGATACCATCGCAAGTATCTTCATCTTCTTTAAAGGAAAAGACTGGTTTTGTTTCATTTTTAATCTCTGTCTACAATTCATTGGACTGTGTGTAGTGAATTTCTGTAATGGTTCACCATTGGCATTATATTCAGTTCAAAATATCCACTGTCATACCTGTTTGCAGTTTGAATTAATTCTACAAGAAAACATTAAAATTCCAATTCAGAAACTCCAGTTACTGGAACGAATAGCCAAGTTAAAATAATGGATGTCTAGACAGCCAGTTAGCTCATGGGGGTGTTGATGTAAAGATTCAGTGTTGTAGGAATTTTTGCAGCCAGCCAAAGTATTGCAAAATTTTCACAGTTAAATGACCAAGAGAGAGAGAAAAAAGAAAACAAAAAACAAAGGCGGAGTGAGTGTTCATCTACTATTGTGTACTCAGGAATACAGTACATTAAGTAAGCCATTGCTCCATGAATGTGATCTAGATTGTTGTTCGTTGGTTGATGTTGATCGTGTTTTTCCATAAGGTTTGGGGTTTTCACTTTTCACACTAGAGGCTTATACCAATGCACATACATAGTCAACATTATGACAATGATACATACTAGCCATTTAGATGTATGTATGTATTTTTGTATATATGTATGTATTATGTATGTAAATATAATAGGATGTGATATCATAATGATTATCACTTCCACCATCTCAAGGGATTTTCTAGTCCGATTTTTTTTCTCTCAAATGGCCTACTTAGAATCCCTTCGGAACTCTGGTCAAGGTGCTCATCAGTACTATGCGTGAAGTGTGAAATCTGCTTGCCAGTGGTGAAAGAGATTGATAAATATGTTATATTTACTTACTATTTGTGGATATGACAGCAAGGATATTATCCTACTTGTATTTACTAGAATATTTTAGAGGGTGTGTAGTGGAAATTTTAGAGGAATATTTAGACTGGTTGCTATTTAGCCTTTTCCTTAATATTAGAGTAATGGGAATTTTTCATGCTCAAGCATTACTATTCCTGTTTGTATTAATCACCACTAACTTGATGTATTCTTACTAAACAAATAGTTTTGAATTTAAGGAATATACTATTATCAGAATTGTAATTGTATGGTAATTCTTATGAACAATAAAATATTGACAGAAATGGTTTTCTCATCTAATTCCTTTTCCGCAAGGATTATGAAATCCTGAGGAAGACATCTGTTGTATATGTTGCATGGAATTTGAGGGATAAAGTTGGCTAGATAAAGAATAATTTTTTTTGCCAATGCAACATTATTTTATTTTCTATTTGAAATCTGTATGACTTATCATGAATTTAAAGACATGCATGATGTCTGTAATTTTTTTCTCCAACTACACATTTTACTTGAAATGCTAATTTGGTGATTATGCCCCTCAAGTTGTGGATGCCTTATTTTTAGTGGCCTCTTTTCATTATACTGGTGAATATGAATAATAAATGAAGTTCCATTTATCTTATAATGTTGATCTTGTAATTTTGAATTTTTTGCTTTACTTTTTATACCTGTACACAGTTTTTTTCCTTTTTGAGTAGCCATTTGTTTTCCATTTTCTTTACTTTTTTGTAGTTAATTTACAGCTGGTTTTTTACTTGTTTATTAATCTGTTACACATTTTAACCCATTAATATGGTGTTCGAACATGTGCGCTGTTCACTATCATTTGATTGATTGATTTTTTGAAATATAGTTGGCTCCACAAATACTTATTATCTATGAAGCCAGTTAGTTGACCTAGTCTGACTTCACCTATTTGCTCCATTTCTTAGTTATATATATATTTCAGTACTGTTATTATTTGTATCAGTGTTGTTATGATGATAAAGATAGCACTCGACTGTATCTCCTTGGTGGACTGAAATCTGGGGATTGGGCTTCCTTGAGTGGCGACTCTCTTAGCGCACATGAACACTCATGTAGATATCAAGACTCCTTTTTTCCGCTTTGCAATGCTATTCCCCCCAGTGCCATGCGTGTTGTTGCTGTGAGGGGGCATAGGAGATGGAGTCTTGCGGCACAATATTGGGGATCTCCTACCTTAGGCCTCGGCCTATGACTTGACTAATTTTGCATGGTCTCTTCTGCTTCCCCTGTCCTTTTCTTCTCTTCTCCAACCCCTTCTGCTGTCCACTTCCTAATGTGCGTGAACTGTGTTGAAAGTATGAAAGGCTGGCTTTGTGCCAGTCGTGAAAGGCCTTAAATAGTCATGGGAACATTATTCCCCAATTTAGTTGTCAGCTAGACCCACTGACTTTAACTTTTCCAGTTCCCCAACCCCTGGCTGTCCTTAGATTGCTACTCTGAACGCTGCTACTACTATCCCCTTTCGCTGCCTTTTTTCACCTCGGTCCATCCCAAGTCACCCATCTAGGGGTACTGACATTAAAATCTTATAGCTTACTTTTAGTTTGCTTTATTGAATTAAACATGATAGCATTGCTTGGTCCTTTGTTTCTTATGGATGATTACTTATCTCCTATAAATGCAGCTTCAAACTTTTGCCAAAAAAAGCAACAAACACAGTGACGACAACCTCATACAGAATTTATGTAATTGTATTTCTATAAAATTTGGAAAGGGGAAAATTTTGTAAAAAGTGACCTTCAAAGGAAAAGGTACAGCAACATTTTTCGCCTTTACTACTTGAGTCTGTGGATGTTCACAAAGAATGCAAGGAAATTTGACATGTGTATTAGCATAGAACATGTGGGGAGTCCACTACACAACTGTGATGCGACGATAGTACTTTCTCCTCTTCTCCCCTTCCGTCGCATCCTACTTCAATCCATTGCCTGTTATTCTCATGGGTGGGGGTCTTAGGAGACGGAGATTGAGGCCCAGTGTAGGGGATCACCCTGACATTGGACCTCAGCCCTCGGCATGATCTAATTTTACATGGTCTTTTCTTTCTTTTTCTTAACTTCCCCAACTCCTTTTCCTGTCAATTCCCAAGGTGTGAGGCGTTTTGAAAGGATGAAAAGCTGACTTTGTGCTATTCATGAATGGCATCAGGGAGCCATGGGCACGGTATTCCCTAGGTTAATTGTTTAGCCCTTACCCTTCATGGAGACCCTGAGGGGTGGACCTATTGTCTTCCCCACGTATTTCAGGCTTACCATGGCCAGTAATGAAGATTTTGTAACCTTATAAGGGGCATTGAAGCTTGCCCCTTTATCAAATAGCCTCCCTTAATGTAACTACTCCGGTTTAGCAAGCACTGACTCTCCTTTGATCACCGACCACTGCTACTACACACTCCTCGTTGAAACGTACTGTCAAATTAACCTGTCCTGAATCATCTACCCAGGTAACTCAGCCTCCAAAGGACACCCCTCCCTCAACACCAATATCCTTGGCCCCATCTCCTGCACAATCGTCTACATTTCTTACATCCTCCTTCCTCATTACAACTCTTCAATCTTATTGCCCACCCTATCACTCTACACCACCACCTCTTTCTCCCGTCCTCACCCTGATTTTTTGTAATTCCTCCTGACAATACCCTACTTTTCCAACATTGCATCCAAAAACAAGTAGGTAAAGTCTCCTTTTGCAGCCGTCACGATTATACACCCTGGTCACAGTTACATTTAAGTCAAGCCCATGCACTCTCTACCCAGGTTGACTCTGCTGGGTAAGCCTATTCCTGCTCGACCCCACTCCTCACTCAATACTTGCACCGGGACTGTTTCCATCTCCCCAGCTGATTGCCCTGTCTGTGATAAGGACTAGTCAGACTGTGAAGAAGACTACTTGCCTACCTTACTGACTTTGATGCTATATCAGCACAGTGCTACAATATTCCTCCTAGAAAAATATCAATACATCAATATTGCCCAGATAACCTCTCGTAGACATGACCTTCCCTTATGGTCTATATTGGGAAATTTTGCCATGTCAGACCAAATAGACCTCCCCCAATGCCAGAAAAGTTGGCGTTTTGGCCATCCTGCAAAGCACTGTCGCTCCACAGCTCTGCCGTCACTGTGTCCAGCCTGGTCATGGCTGTTCAGATTGCCCTGCACAATTACGTACATGCCTATTACAGTGGCTTCCATAATGCATTTTATAGGAATTGCCCTGCCTACAAGTTTGAGTCTGAGGTACCAGTTCTCAAATACAAACTTGGCCTTACTCTGTGAGAGGCCAGACAGGAAGCACGCTGATGAGATTTTTCGATCACTCCCTACTCCAATACATCTTCCACAGTACCCCTTCCCCCTACTCTTCACCTCATCTCTACCTCTATCTCCCAATCAAATCCCTTTTCCATTCTCAGTCCAGGTACTCCAATATCCCATCTACTCTTCACCTCATAAAAATTCCATTTCCTAAACCTTCTCACCCAACTCCCCCCCAAGAAACACTTGAGGACATTCGAAACTACCTAGGCATGACCCAAGAAAATGCTCCTCTCTATTTCAACCACCATTTCTCATACTGGGCGATTTCAATTGCTGTCACACTCTTTTGGGTGATTTCACCACTACCTTTCGTAGCCGTTCCTTAGAACACTTCCTTTCCACAGCTGACATTATTTATAATTCAGATTGCCCCACACACTTTGACATGCGCATCCAATCCTTTTCATGTCGTGACCTCTATGTTCCCCTTCTCTCCACTTAGACTTCCATTGATCAATTCTCACCCCCTCTTTTTTAAAAGATCATCATCCTACCTCCGTCGCACAATTCGGAACAACTAAAGAAGCTGGCAAAATTATCTCCTCGATCACATCTACATCTCAGCTGACTGGTGGCGGATCCACAAACTGTCAGGCAACCCTCCACCCCCCCATCCAACCCTTCATATTCGAGATCCTCTCATATCTGACCCTTTTCAAGTCGCCAATGAACTGGGTGACTATTTCAGCCAGGTCAGAAGTGGCTCTCACCTTCACATTTTTCTTCCATTAAGAACACCAGGAAACGCACTCCTATCACATTTTCTGTCATCTTTTTCTTCCAGTCGTACCACAGCACCTATGAAGGCCCTGACGGTATTCATTGCCGTATGTTTCGACACCTTCCATCTTCCTCTCAGTCCTTTCTCTTCACTATTTTTAATCACATTTAGACTACAGGAGGTTTTCCTCCTCTCCGGCGTGAAGCCCTTATTCCCCCTCTCCTGAAACCCAATAAATCGGGTACCCTCCCTCAAGATTACCGCCCCATCGCTCTAACTAGCTGCTTGTGCAAGCTAATAGAGCAAATGGTTAACTTCCGCTTAATGTGGTATATTGAGTCTCAATCTTCTCTCTCCTTCCCAGTTTGGTTTCCGCCGTACCCGAAGTACAGTTGACACCCTTGATCATTCCGAGACCTGTATTTGCACGCCATTAGAAATTTGACGAACTTACGAACTCATATATCCTGGGGTTCAGACCGTAAATGTCTCCTTCATCTTCATGCTACCTTGACTCTCTCAACTCTTAATTATGGATGCCATATATACTCTTCTGCTTCTACTTCCCTTCTTGCTCATCTTGATACAGTCCACCACTGCGGTCTTCGCTTAGCCCTAGGCGCCTTCTGCTCCTCTCCAGTTGAGAGCCTGTACGCTGTCAGGCTTGCCATCTCTCTTTCGACGCTGTGCCCTTCTCTCTCTCCTGTGCTATGTACGCTTTCACCAACTTTCTCTCACCAAACTTACTATCCTTCGATCTCTGCCTCCTACCTTCATCTCCACGTTTACCTACTCCTCCATTCGCGCTGATACTCTCCTTTCCCATTCCCCCTTTCCTTGTCTTCCCTTTTTCTGCCCATTCCGTTCCTCCATAGCTTATACCTCACCCCTGCTCATCCGTTTTCCCCGACCCACAAAATCAGATATCACCCCTTCTGCCCTTCTCACCCTCTTCCTTGACCATGTCTCTACTCATTCCTCCTGCATCCATATTTACACTGATGGCTCCAAATCCCTCCGGTGTTGGTTTTGCAGTGGTCTTTCCAACTCATACATTCTAATGCCCCCTCCCTCCTGAATCCAGTGTTCTTACTACAGAACTTTACGCACTCCTTTTCGCCTTAAAACACATTTATTCTCTCCCTACCTTCCTTTTCAATATTTTACTGACTCCCTTTACTATCTCATAAAGTCTTGTTTGTAAGATTCAGGACTT